ACACACACCACACACACACACACACACACACACACACACACACACACACCTCTCCACACACACACACACACACACACACACACACACACACACACACACACACAGAGTTCTGTTATCTTTGGTTTTCCTATAAATCCAAATACTATAGGTTACATGGATTAACACTGCCACCTTTTGACGAAAAAATGGTACAGGGCAGTAACAAAACAAAGATTGTATGAGAACAAGCAAAGACTGAACAGAAAGTGGAATACTCACTTTCATTTTGGCATCAATCCACTTCATACTTGTTGCGGCTGAAGAGAGAAAACACGTGTGAGCTGTTCATTTCAAAAGCAGAAACTGTCTCTGCAGAAAGTTCTCATTTATTGCAGTGCATGCAATTTAGAAGAGAAGAGACATACACCAAATGACGATATCGTAGTCCTCGTAGGCTGACGTCAGGAACTCGTGAAGGTATGGCCTCATCAGCTCATGACCCGTCTCTGCACATGACTTGTGATCTAAAACACATATAGAACACAAGCATAAGTGCACAGAGTTCAAGTTTAAAGTAGTAAATCATAGAGTGATGAAAGGTTATATTTATTTTGTAAAGCATTTTGTAACAACCATTACAGAGAAGTCAAAATTTTAACCCATGGAAATGAGAAAACACTGGAGACACAGAATTAAAAAAAGTAAAATGAAATATTGTGCACTCTTTAAGTAAAACTATAGTACTTAATATTTGAATGCACTGCTATAATGAGCCATACAGTCGGTGATCCCAGTCAGATACTCGAAGAGACAAATGTTAGTTACTCACCAAACAGCGTGTAATCCACATCCAGTACCAGAAGCCTCTTTCCTTCTCTGGGAGGGTTCATCTCCTCCACCTTATAGTCTTTCACTCTGCGGGCAATCTTAGCCAAGTTCTCCTCTCTAAAGACATAGATTGACATTTTCTCTAAAACAAACACAGATGTATTCCAACTCTTTATCTACCTTCTATATAGCCACAGACAAACATCAAACCTGTTCTCCACTTCAATGACCTCCTCCTCGATGTCAAAATCATTGACCACATCATCGTTCTCTGGGGGAGGGGCTAAAACGTCTTCCTTAACAAAACAAAACACATGCACAGTTGAAGGGTTAGGGTTGGCTAGGAATCCCATCGGGCTTATGTGGGCAATGTTATCAACAGCTAGCAGGATCGACACCACAACCTGTTCACCATGTATCTAATAATTCAACAAATCTCCATCTGTCTGTCTGCATGTGGCTTTCATACGTCTTTAGAAATCACTCATCTCATCAGCTTCACGCTTGCATGTGAGTTGTTAAGAGCTGAATGAAGATAAGTGTCGGATTTGGTAAGTTTACACTGACCCAAAGTTTAAAATACTCAGTGAGAACACATGTGTCCTGGCTTTCTTCAACCATTATTGATAAAACTACTAATAAGTCAGTTGCACAGGTATATTGCCAATCAATGGAGCACCTAGTTTTTCAGTTATAGTCCCAAACAGGAGACTTTCGCAGTTGGTTAATTTCTCTGTCAACCTGCCACCTACCAGACTCTCCTCTCTGGTACCCATCATCATGATCTTGGTGTTAGGCTTCAGCTTCAGAGAGCCAAGCTTCATCTCATCCTCTGCAGGTTTACCTGCAGGCAGAAAAGAAAGAAAGAATTGAAGGACAAGACAGAGATTCAGAGAAATTGACATGTTTCTAAACATTTTACATAGTGAAAATGTTTTTTACATAAAATGCAATGTTAGAAAGGGAAACAGAGTCCTGATTTTATGTCCGCCGGGTTTCAATATGATCAGGCATTTACACTGGCTCCCCCACATGTACAGCTCTTGTGATCATCTCACCTTTGACCTTGAGTCCCAGTAGTTTCTGTCTCTCTGGCAGCACCCCCGTCAGAGTCTTGATGGACTGTTTCAGATCCATCACCGTGTCCTCCTCAGACAGAGAGCTGATGGAGTACTCCTGACCTCCCCACTTTATGATGACTGACACTGACATGGTTCACACAGGCTCTTCACACACATAAACACACACACACACACTCACTCACGCTCACACACACACACACACACACACACAGCTGGAGTTGGTTGTGCACACACAATTGTTCCAGCTACTGTGACAAACTTGCACACGTACACCTGCAACAGAGAGAGAAAGAGGGAGAGTAACAGGAGAGGTGTCAGGAAAACACAAAAAAGAAGCTGATAGCGAAACCCAGAGAACAGACCATGGCATCAGTGTGGTTGAACATGTGCTGTTTCAACTGCGTGGTTCCAGACACAGCAGCTAAATGTCACGGAATCAGTGCAGACACTCAGTCCCTGATGTTGATATTTTTAGCACGGGGTGGCTAACTCTGACTAGCAACAATATAAACACGAGCAGTAACCGGTCTTACCAGCTAGCATTAGCTCACCTAGCTAGACAGTTCAGGTTAGCTTACCTGTGTGAGCGAGCTGACATGTGGTGGTTGGTAAACACTGTAGTTTCGTCAAACCGTTGAATGAATGAATGAACTTTGTCGTTTCCTTTATCGCGAGGCGCACACTCTGTTCTTCTTCCTGGCGTCCGGAATCCTACCGGTAGTGACGTAGAACAAAAGCTTTGTTACCATGGTAACACATCCCCACATTTTAAGCTTGACGTAAAATCGTTTACAAAAATAATTCATCCGCAAATGTGATTTAAAAAACAAACAGGAAAAAAAGAAAAATGGAAGGTGGTCTTTACATTTAACTGAATAACAGCTTTGATTGTTTGACCCTGGAGACAAAGTTTCTGTGTTTTCACTTTCTAACCCATTCATCCTGCACTTATGCATTTATCACTTACTGGCTAACATTCAATCATTATCTCCTCACCACTATACCGAAGGAGGGGAGGGTGAAGTGTTTGAGTCCACAAAACACTTTTGGAGTTTCAGGGGGAAACAGCATTGCAGCCAAATCCAATACAATTGAAGTAATTGGCTACTACTTTAAAAAAAAAAGAAAAAAAAAAGACATTCAACCTGGACTCGACATTTAGGCTAAAAACACAGTGTATATGAAGCCATTTCGACTCGAGTTTGAATGTCGGGGCTTACGGACCATTGGATGACACCACAGGAGCAGTATGGAGGCATGTTGTGTTTTTATAGTTGTTTTTGATAATGGTGATAATAACAATAATAATAATAATAGCAT